ATCCTCACATTTGAGAGACTGGATGTAATCCATCTAATCAATTAATCAGTTGTTTGTTTCAGCTCTAATTTATTGATGACAGTAAAGAACCAGCTTTAGACTTAAAACGTTGGGCCTATACTCATCTTAACCATTAATGTGTCACTGCTGTTCATTGACAACCGCTTGATACAAAGCACTCAAGTGTTTTTCTATGTTGATGTATTGTAATTCATATGTAACATATTGTTGTATTATAGGATGTGTCTGTCACCCCCTGCAAATGTATGCTTTATGGCACAGATGATGGATGACTGCGAGAGCAACTGAATAACAATGATGTGTGTGTGAGATGAAGAAAGAATGATTTGTGTGTCTTTGTATGTGTGTGTGTGTGTGTGTGAGGGAGAGAGGAAGATTTGTTTAAGATTTTGTGTATTCATAAGCGTGTGTGTGTGTGTGTGTGTGTGTGTGTGTGTGTATGTGTGTATTTCTATGTAATCACGTTCCCTCCTGTCGGCTTTATAATGAATAAGTTGAGTAAAAAGCCTCATTTTCCATGAGGCCTGACTCTAATAGTGTTTATTACCACTGCAGATTCAAATCCAATCATTTCGTTGAGTTCTGATTCTGGTGTGAATCACTGAGACCGCTCTTATTAAGGTGACAAATGACATCCGCCTGAACACTGATGCAGGCAAAGTCTCAGTTTTAGTCCTGCTAGATCTGAGTGCTGCTTTTGACACTGTCGATCATGAGATCCTTTCACAGAGACTAGAGGACTGGGTGGGCATCTCTGGCACTGCCCTAAATTGGTTGAAGTCCTATCTAGAAGACAGGAAGTACTTTGTTGAAATTGGTAACTGTGTCTCAGACCACATGGCCTTGACCTGTGGGGTGCCCCAAGGGTCAATCCTGGGACCCCTTCTGTTCAATCTCTACATGCTGCCTTTAGGCCAGTTAATACAAAGTAATAATGTGTCCTACCACAATTATGCAGACGACACTCAGATCTATGTCTCACTGACAGCAGGTGAATATGGACCAGTGGATTCACTCTGTCACTGCATCCAACAGGTCAGTGTGTGGATGCAAAACAACTTTCTCCAGCTAAATTCAGACAAGACTGAAGTCATCGTATTTGGTCCACAGAAACAAAGAGAAAGTGTCAGCAGTCACCTCCAGTCTCACTCTCTCTAAAACCTACAAATCAGGTTAGAAATCTCAGGGTAATAATGGACTCAGACTTGAACTCTCTCTCTAAAACCTACAAATCAGGTTAGAAATCTCGGGGTAATAATGGACTCAGACTTGAACTTTAACAGCCACATCAAATCAATAACATCAGCAGCTTTTTACCATCTAAAAAACATTGCCAAAATCAAAGGTATAGTGTCTAAACCTGACTTGAAGAGACTTATTCATGCATTTGTCTCTAGTAGGTTAGACTACTGTAACGGCCTGCTCACTGGCCTCTCCAGACGGGCCGTAAGACAGCTGCAGTACATCCAGAATGCTGCTGCTCGGGTCCTGACCAGAACCAGGAAGTACAAGCACATTAGTCCTGTGCTCAGGTCTCTACACTGGCTTCCTGTGGCTCAGAGAATAGACTTAAAAGCAGCTCTGCTTGTGTACAAGTCTCTCCACGGCCTAGCACCAAAGTACATCTCTGACATGTTAGTGCCATATGAACCATCTCGGACTCTGAGGACCTCAGGGACCGGCCTCCTGCTGGTTCCCAGAGTCAGGACTAAACATGGGGAATCAGGATTCCAGTTTTATGCAGCTAAAATCTGGAACAGTCTTTCTGAAGATGTGAGACAGGCCTCTACTCTGACAATGTTCAAATCTAGGCTCAAAACAGCTCTATTTCACTGTGCATATGACTGAAAGGATCCTATCTGCACTCTTCTCTTTTAAAGTTAATTTTATAATGATTATTTATGTTTTTATTTTGTATTGTGATTTTAATGCATTTTCTTGTTCTGTAAAGCACTTTGAATTACTTTGTGTACGAATTGTGCTCTACAAATAAACTTGCCTTGCCTTGAATATCAGCCAGATGGAGAAGATCCGTCTGTGGCTCACTTAAATATTACCCCCACTCTGCATACCACTGTCTGCCTCTTTATCTGACAGCCTGAATACTAATGTTACTGAAGTTACACTTATTTACCTATTCTCTGCCCCATGCAGACATACACACCACGACCACCAACATGCACAAACACACTTGTTTACCAGCATGAGCTCAGTAATTGACACATCAAAGACTCTTTTCTATTCTTTCTTTTTTTTTTTTTTTTTTTTTTTAGCTTTCACGTCTTTGTTAACTTACTTTATGTTTTAGTGTGTTTATTGCTGTTTTCCCTTTCATCATCTCTCTGTCTGTCTCTCTTTGTTAAACAACTTCTTCAAGCATTTTGTTATTCAAACCATCTCTGCGCCAACTCTTAATTGAAAGAAGCAAACCATCTCTCTGCCTCGTTTGAAATCTCTCCTGTGTCTCCTGAAATCTGTGACTCCTTCATTAATTCATTCCTGAAATGTGTCCTTTAAATCACACAGACCACCCTGGTGGATTGTGGGAAGTGTATAAACATATCCAGTATTTAGATTTATAATAAAGTTAAATTGAACTTAAGTTGAAGTTGTGTCTTTTAGATTCAGGAGGAAATATTCTTGACTCACTGTTGATTATTCGGGCTGACCTGTTGAAGCTAAATTTCTCTCCTCTACAGCAAACTAAACGGCACTTTTTTTGATGGTCTTCCCTCGAGTTGTGTTAACTCTGCCAAGATCAATGTGCTACCTGAATTCCTCAATTTATTTTAAAGTATCCCAATTTTTTATTCCCAAATCATTTTCAAGCTCGGCAATTGAACAAATCATGTCATTTATTTGGAATAGTCGTCCAGGTAGAATCAGTAAAGCACCTCTTCAAAAACCTACGACTTGTGGTGGCTTAGCGCTCCATAACTTTCAGATTTATTACTGGTCAGCCAACATCCATAGTCTTCTTAGGTTCCTGCATGGGTTGGAGTAGAGGAGGCATCCTGTAAATCTGCCTGTCTCTCAGCTGTTTAGTCCTCATCTCTTCTTCTTGCTTCTGCTTTTACAACTTAAAACCCTACTGTGACCAATCTCTTCAGATACAGGGTCACAAAGGAGACATTTTGGTCAACAACCCAACCTACAATGTCATCAGTTTAGCAAGCAATATTGCCAGATTGGGTGGTTTTCCAATCAGTTATGCTGTTTTTCATTTAATTTAATTTTATACACTTTATTAATCCCCAAGGGAAATTCAGTGTTTTCACTCCTTTGTCATATACATTAACACACAGGTCCGAAATACACGCACATGCACACACAGGACCTATACATGCATTAAATGGAGAGATGTCAGAGTGAGGGGGCTGCCCATGGATAGGCGCCCCAAGCAGTTGGGGGTTCGGTGCCTAGCTCAAGGGCACCTCTGCAGTGCCCAGTAAGTGAACTGGCACCTCTCCAGCCACCAGTCCATGCTCCATATTTGGTCTCTTTTTTCCGGTTCCCAAACCAAGTCCCTATGGACTGAGCTACTGCTGCCCTAACTGGGGAAGTAAGAATTGTTTTTGGCAGCTTGTGATAATTTGGGTTCCGGTTTGCACCATTACATGACTATCAAAATCAAGTTGTCATTATTATTCAGTCACAGCTGGCAGTTTGTGTGTAGCAGTCTTCAATTTAGCTGTCTAAAAAAAATATTGAAGTATTATCATAGAGCTTAAAAACATGTTTATACCTGTTACTAGCTTATCTAGACTGCTACTAGCTTTACAGGCTAATGTGTTTAAAGACACAGTTTACCCCTAAATAATTTGTTTCACCTTTTACCTGTTGTGCTGTTTATGAATCCAGAAGTCGGAGAGTGTTGAAGAGATCGGCCATAGAGATGTCTGCCTTCTCTTAAATATAATGGGACTAGATGGGACTCGGCTTGTGGTGCTTTAAGTGCTTAAAAAACAAAACACTCAATATAGTCTACAGACCTTGTTGTGAGCAGTTTCATGTAAACACTTTTTTCTTTCCGCTAAAGTAAACCCACCAACTGTATCAGACAGAAGCGTGCATCTACTCATGGAGGAGAGGCTCATGTTTGTGACAGTGTCAGATGTAAACTTTAATGGCGTCCTCCTTGGTTGCGCTGTAACGTTAGCAAGCTCAGTGGTGCCGGGTGAGCTAGCAGTAGATGCACACTTCCTCCTGCATGGTGATACGATGGCGGGTGTAGTTCAGTAGAAAGAAAATAGTTCCTACATGAAACTGCTCACAACAAGGTCTGTGGATTATCTTGAGTAACATCATGTCATGATTTCTGGAAAGAGACATTGCTGTTGAGTTTTTCAGATGTGTTTTTTTGGCATATTGAGCACCACAATAACAAGAAGGCAGACATCTCTACAGCTGCCATTCATCTCACTAACATCTATCATGTTGAAGGTTGCAAATTACTGTGATGTCAGGTCTATTCCAAATGAATTACTGGGTGTATTTTGTTAAGTGTGTCCTACTTGTATCTGTCTCCTCAGTGTGGTTTTCAAGGACTGATGACTTGAAAAATTTATTCTCAAATATTTCACCTTCTCATTTTCACAGAAACAAAAACATATCACTTTTTCTATTTAATATCACTGCACATGTTCACTGACACAACGTTCTGTTAACTCAGCTGATGAAAAATATTACAGACATGTCTTTTATTTCAAAACGCTTTCATTTTCCTTTTAAAGGAAGGATTTTCCTGGCTCGGGAATAACCAGGTGGTAATTTTACACAATCAAATCCCCTGAATCTCACAGCGAAAACCTCACGTCATGTTTCAGTTGCAGTGCCAGTGGGGTTTTGCAGGTGCCAAAGAAATGTAAAACTGTTCAGAGCATATGATGAAAGGTATCATTGGTTCCCTGAGGTAATTTAACAAATCATCTCTCTCTCTCTTGTCTCCACTTTTTTTTTATCCTCTTTACCTCCTTTAGGTGACATGTAATTGTTTCACCATCAGTGACGGAGAGCTGCAAGAGATTGGAGTTGGGCTGTATCCTAGGTAACACACACACACGTGCACTCAAAGGGAAAGGGCAAAGTGTGAAGCATACACATCTAAAAAGCATCATTAATTTCAATCTAGCTCATAATCATTGTTGGATGGTGCTCTCCCTCTCTCTGTATCTCGATTGTACACTAAAAAAGCCACAAAATTTTAATGTAGCTCTTGAGTTACCTGCCAGATCACCGCACCCCAGCCAACCCTACCCATCCTTTCCCCGCTCACTTTCAAAGCCCTCCCCACCCCCTTCGCTATTTTCCTGACTGTTCTTTGAAATGCGAGGCAAAAGGGCGAGGAAGAAGGGTGGAAGGGAAGTGATTTTTTTTTCTTTGTGAGGCGAAAACTTGAAAATGAATGTTGACAGAATATTATAACGCTGTCTGGGGAAACTGGTGGGACGCAGAGAGAAGCGAGAACACATGGAGAAATCTGAGCTTTGACTCTAACTGATAAGTGATTCTTGTCTGGCATGTGGGAGTGAAGTGCACACACTCACACAGAGCAAGGCGGTATGCACTGTAATCCCTGTATCGAGTCTGGGTGAACAGAGTGGGATTTGGCCTGTCATTGCACATGTTGTTAGAGTTAGAGTTACACATGTACACACACACACACACACACACACACCCCCACACACTGCAGGTATCTCAGCCAGTTTATCTGGCTGGTGTTGAGATGTCAGATGGTCACAGTGGCTTTACCAAAGCTCGGCCAAACCGCGTGTGTCTTTGTCAGTGTGTGTCTGCGATTTGTGTCGTAACTCATCCATAAATGATGGGCCCGTTTGCAGGATGGTCCCCTGCCTATTCATATTTTGGGTTGCCTAGCAACCGCTGGGTTTGGTGAAGAGAGGGGGATTATTCTGGTGAGGCTACACCTCTGTTCATGCCATCACTTTTTGTCCATTTCTCTTTCTCTGCTTTATGTCAAAAACACTTTTTCTCATTTGCTGACCATCTCACTCCCCTCTCTGTCTCCACTAAGATCATCCTTCTCTTCGTCTGTCTCCCCCTTCCACTCTGCTAACTGGGCTTTTGAAAACATTATGTAAAATCATATCCTCAGAGGTTTTTAACAGAAGCAAAATGATTCACATGTGGACTGATAACACAGACCTTTGATCACTTTTTCTAATCCACCCCAACATTGTACTTCATATAAACTCACAGTGACATGAACCCATGTGTAGCCACAGCCACATCCTCACAAAGAGGCACCGAAACCAAAACAGGAAGAAGAGATGAGATGACATTTGATACAAACACCCAAGAGATGTTTATTTGTTGCACACAGTTCAAAGGTGTCATGCAAGATTTTTATTTCTGTCTCAACTAAAAGAGTTTTATTATTCATAGCTCCACTGGAGACTGTTACACTCTGGTGTGAATGCAGTTATGGAGATTTTACATGACAAATGGTGACAAATTTTAAAATATCATCTTTCAAAGGTCAAGTGTGTAGAATGTAGGGGGATATATTGGCAGAACAGAATATGATACAATAAGGTTGTTTTGCAAACATAGCTATTGAGTGCATGGTAAAGTCTCAGATCTTTAACCTAAATCTATGAAAATGGGAGCAAAAACATAAGTGTTACATCCATCCATTTTCAAGCGCTTATCCAAGGGGGGGTCGCCGGGGCAGCAGGCTTAGCAAAGTATTCCAGATGCCCCTCTCCTCAGCAACACTTTCCAGCTCCTCCTGGGGGATCCTGAGGAGTTCCTAGGTCAGACAAGATATGTAATCCCTCCAGTGTGTTCTGGGTCTGCCCAGGGGCCTCCTACCAGGTGGACACACCTTGAACACCTTTAACAGAAGGCACCCAGGAGGCATCCTGATCAAATGCCTGAACCACTTCAACTGACCCCTTTCAACACAAAGGAGCAGTGGCTTTACTCCAAGCTCCTTCCCTGTCTCTAAGGCTGAGTCCAGCCACCCTTTGGAGGAAATATTTTTCGGCTGCTTGTATCCATGACCTCATTCTTTTCGTCCTTACCCATAGTTCATGACCATAGGTGAGGGTTGGGATGTAGATGGACCAGTAAATTGTAAGCTCTGCCCTCTGGCTCAGCTCTTTCTTTACCACGATGGTCCGGCACTGCACCCACATCACTGCAGATGCCACACCAAACTGCCGATCCATCTCATGCTCCATTCTACCTTCACTCATGAACAAGACCCTGAGATACTTGAACTCCAGGGCCCCCCTCTGGAGCCAGACCTGGAGGGGGAGCTCACTAGCGAGCCTCTGGTGGCCAGGTCATGCTCAGGCCAAATGAATGATATGTAGCCACCACCCTGTCCGCCCACCAACCGCAGGGACTGGTATCGGGGCAGGGTGCATTATGTGTCAGGCGACAGGCAGGGCGGGTACCTGGGCGTGTTGACCCCTGATGTGGCAGACTAGCTCTGGGGACATGGAAGAGTTACATTTAAATTTGAATTTTTAAATTTTTGGTGCCATTTAATTGATGTCTCCTGCATTTGTGCAGTAGTCAGTCTCTCTGAAAATAAAGTTGCAGGAAACAGTAACAGATTTTTAACCCTCTCTTTCATTAAATATCGGTCAGTCCCCTGCTGTCTCTACTCATGCAGTATTTGGCTCTCTACCGTGCTGTGTACAGCAACAGTTAGTTTCAGTAAGTGGAAGCCGATATTGTTAATGTGAAATGCGGTTTAGTTAATTAATCTAATTAGTATGCTAATGAGCAGCTCTCCATCAGATAAAAGCATTGTTTGGAGGGCTTGATTTCTAGTTGATATTCAACTCGCAACTTCTCCACTCTAAAACAAAGCCAGGGGGTTACTGAGGATTTTACAAAGGCTACACACACACACACACACACTCACACACACAGCCTTTATCTCTTGCACCCATTGTTTTGCTCTGTGAATATGATAAACGAGAACAGCAGTAATGGAAGGGCGTATAAACACAGACAAACCTCTTCAGTATTTTTTCGCAGCCATGTGTGCAGTGACAGTAAATGTCTTTTTATGAGTCAGACTGGTTTTAAAATACCTTTAATAAAAAATATATGTTCTTTTTTATTCTAAATCACAACATTCTCAACAATTACAGTCTCAGCACAGGAAAGAGGAAGCTCAAGCACAGATTTTGCAATATATTGAAATCACTATTCAGTCGAGTTACATGCTCTTTACATCTTTTTGTACGTCTTTTTTACAACTCCTGAACTGTAAGCTACTTTGTAAGAAAACTATTATAAGAGAAAGACAAGCAGTAGCCAGCTTATTAGGTACATCTAGCAAAAACTAATGCAGTCTAAAACAACAGTGCTGCATTAAATCCTGCTTTTATGTTACGGTGTTTTACGACTCATCAGATAATTTTGTTCCAGCAGGCATATATAAATGTTTCAGCCAACAAAAACAAAATTTGATTAAACCTGTCTGTCTCCCATTAAAACTGCTTTACCGATAAATTATTCCTCCTTGTGCTGCAGTACATCCTGCCCCAACATGTCTCAGTATGATGCAGAAAACACATCATACTTACACATATTTTCTAACATTGTCTTAAAATGCTGTTTTATTTTGATTTTAATACAACTCAGTAAGGTCAGACTGATAATATTAAAGCTAAGTTTAAATGAAAGACCTTTGTGCATTTAATAAAAGTGTAAAAAAAACAATAAATTTGGCATCAGTAGGGTGTCAACACTGTCAGCCAGTGTGTCTGTGGATGAGTAGGAGGACTGGCTGCATCTATTTTAAATTTGGGAAATGAGTCTTTGTTTTGACAGAAGTGGAGTACCCATCGCTTCCTGATTTATTTTCTTATATGTGTCTGAGGGGGAGAGAGGCCGATAGAGCGACGGAAAGAAATGAAGAGTGACATTTGTTATGACAGAAGCAGAATACTCATTTTGTCATATTGTGCAGGGAATTATCTGTTTGTGTGTGTCCACGTGTGAGTGACTTTCTCTCTGAGGTTCATTTGAGAACTCAGTCTTAAGTTATGTGTGCAGGATTGACATTATGAGAAGTCACCTTGGTATCCCACAGCTGTCACACTAAACTAGCTTAACGATTGGATGCTGATCTTGAGGGAGATGTGTCATTCCAGGAGAGTTTTGTCCGTTTGTATGTCTCATTCTCGTAAACGCAAAATCTAAAGAATGCTCTGGGGGTCGATTTATTGCGGCTTATTCTCTTTGGGATGTTTCAATTGACTATATTGAGAACATCAAGTATAAATTGTCATGTCATATTTTTAAAGCCACGAGCGTGAGGCCCACTTCGATGTTTCAGTTCTTTCATTCTCTCCCTCTCATAGACACAAACGAAGTAAAAAAACAGATTCATAAACATAATACACAGCACACACTCCTCTGCCCATCCAGACCAGTTTCTCCTGGATGATAGTGGAGGCAGATGAGGCATGTGTTTTTATGCCTGCAGGGCTCCAGACCGCGACTCTTTAGTCACATTGTGTGACCATGTAGCACCAGTTAGACTTGCACATACAGTATTATTAATGTACATATGAACTGGAGAGCCATTTGTTTGTTTCCAGCTCACAGTAAATAAATCCTTGTGTTTAACTGCGTTGTGGTAATAGATTCACGTTCTGCTAACTGCTAACAGCAGCTGTTGACTGGAAGTTTTATGTTCACAGCAAAAACACTAACCCCGCTCCTCTTTTAACTTAATGTAACTGTAGTTTATTTAGTAGTTTAGTATCTGAGTTGTCTGCAGTAGTTTAGAGGAGATTTCAAAATATCAAGATATATAAATAACACAATAATATTTAAGGGTCATATTTCCCTGCTGTCATGGCTATGAGTCTAGACAGACATGGATGGAAACTTTAACTGGACTGGTTGGCGGAGGCATAAAACCACGTCAGGTGATTCTAGTTTCTCTCATGAATATGTTTGAGCAAATGAACATCTCACTCAGCACTGATCTCAGTGATTTTAGAAACCCTACACAGTTGGACATGTGGCAGTTGGTGGCTCGGCAGGACGAGGCTCTAGCTGTATTTTTTAACCTTTATCATGTGTTCTCTGTCTTCTCTTTTGCCAGGTTGCATTTGAAAACTAAATATTTAATCACAATTGTCTGTTTTGACCCTCTTCCTTCTTGTCTTTGCTTCATTCATTCTCCCTTCCCTCCTCACTGCTCTGTCTCCTCTCGTTTACCTTCGCTCTCCCTCCTCTCACCGTCTGGCGCTCTCCCTCCCTCCCTCCTGCACCTCATCATCTTGTTTGCTCTCTCCAAGTTTATCTCTGCTAAACCATGACTGTAGGCCAAACTGCGTGATGGTGTTTGTGGGAACAAAACTGCAGCTGAGAGCTGTTCAGGATATCAACCCTGAAGACGAGGTATGAGCAAGAAAATACTGAGAAAATACTCACACTGCATCTTCACAACATTAGCAACATGCAATATGACTCTGATTTTATCGACTGTGATGTTGCCTCTGCTTTTATGTTCAAGCTGTTTATGAGCAATATTTATTGAATGTTTTTTATTTGCTGTTGGAGCCAATGCCTGAGGAAAAATACATGATCTGAAACTAAGAGCCATGTTTTAAACTGACATAAAATCACTGCAGTTATTATGTGAGTTTTATTGTTTAAGTAATAATAAATGTTGATGGAACTACAATTAACTTGATGTTATTAAAGTAATCCTCCAAATCGTGGCCAAGTGAAATATCACTGCGACACAGGCAGGATGACACGTCCTAGCTTGGCAGTGTCTTCTCTCATTTTCCATACTTCACTGTCTCTCCTGACTATATAACGAGATGCATCCATGCCATCTGGAAGATACACACAAATATACATACACACTCTACTCCTACAGTGTCTCTTCCCACTATACACAATCTACACAGTTTAGATTCCAAATCATTCAACCTCCTGCACTGCACTGTGTTTAACAATAATCTATATTGCAAATATAGCAAAAAGGCAAACTTAACCGTTCTCTCTGTTTTCAGCTGACTATAAGTTACATCGAGACGCTGTCATTAAGGGAAGATCGACAGAGACATTTGGAGGACCAGTACCTTTTTATCTGCCACTGCCAACACTGTGACTCTCAAGACAAAGTAAGACTCTCACAAACACCAAACACAAACTGTGCCAGTGGCTACATTTATCCAACTAGGGGCTATACTCGGGGTAAGGCATTTATCTGATTAAGATGTTTATCATCAAAGCATCCCATCAATATTGTTGTTCCCTGTGAAGGCCCAGACACACCAAGTGGATGATCTGCCGCTGGTCAATGTCGGGCCATCGGTGAGCATCTGTCACCCTAGCTTTTGCAGTGTGTCCCGCACTGTTGGTACTAGTCGGCCCTTGTCTGCACTTGTTGCCAGTTTTGTGGTGGACTCAGAATGTTGAATTTGCATCAGAGCCACTCTCAGTGGTATCTAGTTCCTTATACAAGGAGAGAAACAAAAGTGAAGAAAGCAAACAAACAACTAAAGTCAAGAGGGCAAGATCAAAAAAGACTCATTATATAAGCAGGGCTCAACAATAAGGATTGCCCAATTGCCCGGGGCAAGTAAAACTCAAGGTCGGGCATGTAAACTAACAACTCACTTGCCCGATCGGGCAAGTTGCTAAAAATAGTAAAAGTTAATAACTAATTGATAAAATAAATGTATTTTAAAACGTGCTCCTTCTGCTCTGATGCAGCGGTCTCTCTGCCTGAAGTCACAGGCACAGCTGTGTAACAATGTCCTGCCCACAGCCTCCATTGATATTATTTTGCGCGACAGACGCTTCATATAATAACATAACAGTATACTATTTATGGTGTTATGTCATCGTGTCATTTCTGTCTCTACATGGTCACGCGTTAACAATTCTCCTCAGCTCTCTGTATCGCGCACGGCGGCGTTCCGCCACATACACAGGTGAGCACGCTAGAGCGACAAAGTTATTGAAATGGACAGTGTGTAAATAACCAACAGACTGCAGTTACGCTGCTCGCACAGCAGCGTAGCACGGCACTCGTGCTGAGCTTGTGTTGCGTTCAGGCGTTGTCACGTAAATAAAAACTTCCAGGACAAAACAGCTGCATGTCATGTGACTTTTAACTTTTTTTATATTCAATAAAATTGTATGTTCCTAAATCTTGAGACACATCATATGTAAGCTAGACAGACATTTCACCTGCTCATTACTGTGCACACATGTACTGTATGTACTTAGTCCTAAAGAGCCCTTCTGGTGCCAGTAGATACATAGAAACATCCCAGCAGGCTGTGCTTTGCAAGCATACAAAAAAGTTTCACGCATGTGAAAATTATTTTTCATGCGTGTGCTTCACCTCCGCTGCTACAACTCCATCCTAGGGGAAACACTGCTGTGTG